CAGTAGAATCTCGACCTTCCGAATCCATGGTTAGTTCAAGAAATATACCATATGATGTGGCCTAAATAAGGTAAGGGAGGGGGGTTTAGCTTATTTGGGCCACAGTGTGGCCTAAATAAGGCAAGGGAGGGGGGTTTAGCTTATTTAGGCCACACTGTGGCCCAAATAAGGTCACCCTTTCAAAAATGGGCACAATTTGAACAAGCCCAGAAATGTTTAAACAGGTACTCAGGGTGACTGCAAACCCGACTTCTCAGTTTCACTATATGTTTCACTATGTGAGTGTTTCATTATGTGAATGTTTCATTATGTGAGTGTTTCACTATTTGTGTGCTAAACTATCTATGTGCATGCTCTACTGTAAAATGGTAAACGCCAAAAGTTCCATACTTCAACACTCACCTCTTTTGTGCTCCTTCTTCACCTCAATCTTATGCTGTGTCCTGAGGTGTCTCAAAACGTGTTCTTTCTGTGCCGCGCGATACTGGCATATGCCACACATGAAGGGCTTGACTTTCTCGTGGATGGCAGCGTGGCGCTTCAGCCGACTCTGACAGTCGGTGACGAAGCTACACTCCTTGCAGAACAGCTTGAGCTCTGGCCCGTCTTTGTGGAACTTCATGTGCTGCTTCAAGTCTTTCTTGCTGCTCAGCTCCGCGTTACACTCGGGACAGATGCACACCTCGCCAGACGTGGCGTTGGAATGTTTCCGCTTGATGTGCATGCGCAGGTCCGGCTGTTCGTTGGCACACACGTAGTTACACAGCGGGCACTTGACACGCTTTTCCTGACACACCAGAAACGCACAATGTTAGGTTACACCAATGGTAGGACCAAGTAGAAGGCATGGAAGAGGTACGTCGTTTAACCATTCATCATCAAAGTTATTTTGGTTTTAGTAAGAGTTTTGAGGCACTTGCAACACAATAAGGTCATATAAGTGCTGAAGATTAGAGGTGTTACAAGAGAGTAACAAACACAAAAAAGAAGGAGGGGAGATAAAGACGATAAACGTTTGATAGTAAAGAAGGAGTAAACCACAGCAGAACACACGCCAACCACCCACCATATTCCCCAACAAACTAGCCCAAGGCGTGGAGTTCCCCTACCTTGTGTTTGTACTTGATGTGACACGAGTTCCCCCATGTCTGTACTTGATGTGACGCGAGTTCCCCTATGTGTGTACTTGATGTGACACGAGTTCTCCTATGTCTGTACTTGATGTGACAAGAGTTCCCCTATGTCTGTACTTGATGTGACACGAGTTCCCCTATGTCTGTACTTGATGTGACACGAGTTCCCCCATGTCTGTACTTGATGTGACATGAGTTCCCCTATGTATGTACTTGATGCGACATGAGTTCCCCTATGTGTGTACTTGATGTGACATGAGTTCCCCTATGTGTGTACTTGATGTGACATGAGTTCCCCTATGTCTGTACTTGATGTGACACGAGTTCCCCCATGTCTGTACTTGATGTGACGTGAGTTCCCCTATGTGTGTACTTGATGTGACGTGAGTTCCCCTATGTCTGTACTTGATGTGACATGAGTTCCCCTATGTGTGTACTAGATGTGACGTAATTCCCCTACCTCGTGTTTGTACTTGATGTGACGTTCCAGGTGGATCTTCTGACGGAAGCACAGGCCACAGATGGTGCACTTGTGTTGGCGGATATCCTCGTGGATGCCCATGTGTCGCTTGAGGTTGCTGCTGGTGCCCGCCTTGTACTTGCACACCGGGCAGTTGTGGGGCTTGGAGCCTGGACAAAACATTGGAGTGAACATCTTAGTTCAGTAACTTCTCTCTGTAAGACTTGTAGAAAGGCCTCAAGATACACAACATTGGAGTGAACATCTTTGTTCAGTACCTTCTCTCTGTAAGACTTGTAGAAAGGCCTCAAGATACACAACATTGGAGTGAACATCTTTGTTCAGTACCTTCTCTCTGTAAGACTTGTAGAAAGGCCTCAAGATACACAACATTG